TTATTAATTTAATATTTATTTTAATAAAATAAAATAAATATAAAATAAATGCATATTATAATAATAAATATATATAATATATACATAAATATACAATTATAGTAATAAATATCATATGAAAACTCATTGCATAAAGTAAAAACATAAAATTTTTTATTATAGTAATTTAAACTTTTAGAATTTTATAATAATAATAATTTTAAAATAATAAAAAAATATTACATAAATTTTTCATAATTATAATTTTAAAAAATATAATACAATTATATATTGTTTAAAAAAAATTATAAATAAAATTATGTTAATATTGAATTTTAATGGATTAAATATTTAAAAAATAATAATGCATAACTTTTATCATATATTTTTTAAAGATTGAAAGATAACTAATTTCTCAATAATAATATTATTAATATATTTTTTTTCAATGTTAAAATAATAATAATTTATAATATTTACATACATACATGTGTTTCTTTCTATATCATAATGAATTATAACTTTTTTTATTTTTAATACTTACATTGTTCATTAGCTACTTGTGAATAATTTCCATCCTCAACAAATTTAATATTTCCTATGTGAAGTACTCCAGCAACAAGCCTAAAAATGTCAGTTATTTCGGAATTGCTAATTCCCATTACATCGAGTCCTGAAACACGTAAAAATATAAATAATAATAAAAATAAATATAAATTTCTGAATAATAATTACTGAATCTTATAAGTTTTAAGATATAAGACATAACATTACCATTAATTTAAAATATGAAAAAAAAATGTAATAAACGTAATACAATTTGTCAATTAACAATTATTATTAACAAATTAAATAATACTGTATATAAATTAAAATTTGTAAAATTTTTATTTTATTCAATAATTAATTTTATTAATTTAATAAGATTTGATAATTTAATCGGATAATTTAATAAGATTTTTTTTATAAAAATCCAAAATAAAACTTACTAAATAGAATAAATTATACAAAAAAATAATGTTCTTAATCATATCATGTTATTTTCATAATTATTCATTCGAGATATGTAAAATTATACTTCTTTTATTTTTAATATAAATAATTAATATAAGAACCAAGAGACAGAAAACAGAGAATAGAGAATAAAAAAACGAAAGAATATAGAAAGAATTTTAAATTCGCGATTTTCAATATACTACACATATTTTTTATTCTAATTGTTTTTATTTTTTAAATAAAGATTATTCATTTTATCCTGAGTTTTTTAAATAGATTTTTAAAAGATCTTTTCTATTCTTCATCTCATTCAGAAGAACTTCTTCTAGAAACAGAAAATATTGAAGATATAAAGAAAAAAAAGATCATAAAAATCAAACAATATATAAATAAAAAATTTATAATTGAAATTTGTAAATGATTTATTATATGATAATAGTTAATATTATACATCGATTTATTATACATAATTAAAATCATTTAAAAATTTTTCGTATAAAAATTAAATAAATATATGATGAAATAATATAATAAATTGATGAAATAAATATAATTGATCTATAAGAATCTTTCTATCATAAAAATCTTAATCGTTTTATGTTATCTTAAAGATTTTATAAATTATTTTTTCGTTGTTTTATTAATATGTAATTATATTTATTTTAATGTAATTACTTCTCGATGTACAATTGTTATAAAAAAAATTGTTACCTTTTAATGTTTCTTGGAAGGCACTGGCATCGTTTATGTCATCAATTTTGTGACCTTGACCATAATTGAGATATTGGTAATAATTAATATTCGTTAATCCAAATTCAGCTGAAAAATATAAAATTATATATATATTATGTGAAAAACGCATTTAATATGTCTATATTTTAAATTCAAAATAATTTTTATTATAATTTATAAAAGATATAATTTTCATATTACATTAATATTCGTATGTATTAATTTTTTAATAATTGTTTTCATATAATAAGAAATTATTATATTAAATATAATTATTTTAATATAATAAGAAATTGTGAAAAAAATGTATATTATAATTAAATGATTAATATGAAATCAATTTTTCGAATAAAATCAAAATCTTTTCAAAATATTATAAAACATATTAAAACAAATTTTAAGTTTAATAATTTTATTTACATAATTTTAAATTTATAACAAGAAAAATTAATATATAAAATGCATTATATAACAACTTAAACTTACATACTTATATGTAAGTATATAAATATAATATGTAAAATTTAAAAAAAAACATTATCATTTGCTTTACATCCTCTTATTTTTATTTATAAAATTTGAAATAATTAAAAAGTGAATAACTTATAAAATATTTCGATAAATATTTTTATTATTTTAATTATTATTTTAAATAATTATTTTTATTATTATCATGTATTTAAAAATTTAATTATTTAATTGTAATAACTTATATTAACTTTAAAACTATAAAATGTGACATATCACAAAAAAATGAAAATAAAGGGAATTTGTAACATAAGAAATGCATATTATTAGAATCAATATTAGAGATAGAATATAAAATATTGAAACTTCAAAATCTTTAAAACTTAAAATTTTAATATTTCGAATCCTGAAACTTTTTAACATTTTTATGATTCATCTCTAGAAATCCAAATAAAGCACAATATATATAAATAACTTATGAGAATGTTATAAGGATATGAATTTATATTTATTTAAATTATAATAACTCAATTGAATTAGACTTTTTTTAAATGATATAATTTTACT